GTTCACTAATGAAACGAAAAGAACCATCATAGAAAACGATTCTCATCACAGGAGGAGGGTAGACTATCCTAAAACTACCTCATCCTCATTTTCCACAACAAAATAGACCCCTACTCCTTTCCCACGAATATCTACCACACACCACACGACTCTCACACCCAAACCATACCATATAGGGCATCGGTCTGGCCTGGGGCACTTCGTCAGCAGTGACATAAACATCGGGCACGTATCCTTGGGCAGCAGCGATGGGTTTTAATTTGTCAACGATAGGGGCCGGGTAACCAGTGCATGATCCGATCTTGATCCCTTCGCTCCGCAGTGCCGCCATGCATTCCAGCGTGCCTGTGTGATGAGAGAGGGTGAGAAGGGGGGGAGGGGGGTGCTGGACGTATGTCGTGAATGTTTGTGTGTGTACGGGTATGCACGCGCACACGTAGACATAACAACATTGACACATACAGATACATTAAATACATAAAAAACGTACATAAACACACACATACTTATAACGCATTAAACAATACAAAACAAAACCACGTATTCACACACACTACACCAACAACAACACACACACACACACACACTACACACACACACACACACACACACACACACACACACACACACACACACACACACACACACACACACACACACACACACACACACTCACTCACTCACTCCTCTCATTGCAAAGAGAGAAGGCGACGCCATCACACATATTAAGATTACGCCAGGTGAGGCGAGCGGCAGCAACCTGTCGGGAAAAGTGCGGGATGGCAAGTTCACGCGTCCCTTCTCGGCCTTTGTGTTTTGAAGGATGTGCGACAGAGGGTTTCCGTTTTTGTTTTTCGAAGGTCTGTCTTTCCTTATTCCGTTTCTCTGTCTGTGGCTGTGGATTTGAATTTGTCTCTCTCTCTCTCTGTCTCTGTCTTCATATTTCTCTCTCTCTCTCCTTTCTTTTTATTTATTTCTGGTTCTGTCTCCTTCTCTCCTTCTATTCCTTTATCCTTTCCTTCTATCCCTCTCTCGTTTCCTCCTTCTATCGATTCTCCTTTTGTCTCTTTCTCATTCTGTCCTTCTCTATCTCACCCCCTATCTATCCTTCTCTCTGTCTGTCTGTCTGTCTGTCTGTCTCTCTCTTTCTCCATCTCTTAATCTCTCCTCTCTCCTCTCCTCTCCTCCCCCCTCTCCCTCCTCGCCTTCCCTCTCTCCCTTTCCCTCCCCCTCACTCACTGTCTCTCTCTCTCCTCAAATTTCACAGCGTCGCATGAGGAAACAATCAAGAACCCCCCCCAAAACATACGAATTTCCACACTACTCACTAACCACCATCGTAGTTATAGACTTTTTTTCACCCCTATTTATCCAAAATCCAAAATCCAGTTGATGACTCTGGTGGGAACTCACGAAGTATGCTAGAGATATTGTTGATATTCGACACATTTCTTTCTATTATAGCCCTAAACTCGTGGAATTCTGGAAGCTGGGATGCGCTTCTTCTTTCACGGACTCTCAAAAAGTACTGATTAAACACCTAACGTGGTGTAAGAGATTAAGTGTAATCCACATTCCTAGGAAAAATAAGGCGACATTCTTCAACGATCTATATGAATAAGTAGGAATTCATTCATGAATGTTTGTGCAGAATGAAAGTTCAGGTGTTTTTTTCCAATAAGTTCATCAGTCCAGTTAAGGACAGAGCTGCATACTTCACGTGACAGTAAAGTTTTCCCTTGGTTCTGACTTTGCTAATTCCGCAGAAAGCAATGGTTATGACACAGCCCCTGAATGCAAACAACAGTACACTTTCTGTGTCGAAATGATTCCTATTATATATTTGACATCTATAAAGCGCTACTTGTTCCTTATGACAGTGTCAAACAAGGTCATGACAGGGCTGTCAAACTCATTTACCCCAGAGGGCCAAATTTCAACTTAGTATACAGTATGCGGGCCAGATACTCGTGAGTCGATGCGACGAAACGGTCATATGGTTGACGTAAAAACGTAAGAAGCTGTTTCATTCCCTGTAAAATAAGAAAAAAACTAAGTGTAATAGCTAATCCTAAAGGACGAAGGACCGACTTAATTAACCATGTAAATCGGCCGATTGTAAGACCGATTGTCGGGTGTTTGACACCCTTGCTCTAATCTAAGTAAGAGAAATCCCAGATTCTTTCCGTGAAGATTGCAATGACTAACTCCTGGCGTGAAAAAGTGTGCTTTGCAGTATTAACGCAAAATTGTCGCTTCTCCAGACTTTCAAAAAAAAAAAAAAAAAAAAAAAAAAAAACACCTTTAGAACACTTTGGCATTAGACATGAAAGTTCATCGGGTGACAGAAGCTACTTTTGCTATCACATATGTTGACTTTCGGCTAAAGATGGAATGCGTCTGTAAAGTCACTAGTGAGGTTTGCTTTGGGTAAGATGTGTACGAAGGAAGGAAGTGTACGACGTATTATCTTTTTCTCATCTTTTTTTTATTAGATTTT